TTTAGTGCTGACCATTAGTTAATTGAATTATTGTGTATAGCCATGAGCAATAAATGTTAACTGAAACTGAATGTGTAGTCCTGATTCTTTGCATCTGACAATTACTAGTAAGGAGGAGTGGGATTCAATTTTTTTAGCAACCGGTTCTGTGGGAGTGGCTTAGGTGGTGGGCATGGCTTGGTGGTCATGTGACTGGGTGGACATGGCTTGGTGGTCATGTTACTGGCTGGGCATGGCCAACTCAACATCACTCGCATGGCATCTCCTCGCATGGCCTCTCATGACTGTGGGGATGCTGCAACAGTCGTAAATGTGAAAAATGATCATAAGTCACTTTTTTCAGTGCCATTGTAACTTTGAATGGTCACTCCACACAAGCAAAGTACCAGCAAAGGAGGGGGAAAAAAACTCCAGAGAAGTTCCTGAAACAGGAAGTCTAGTCCTGCCAAGAATGTAATAAGGATTAATGGAGAGGCAGTTTCTGTAAGCAACACCAGAATGTTTCCTTCCTGCCTTCCTTACAGGAATAGGCCAGTAATTTCTTCTAACAACCGGTTCTCCAAACTGCTTAGAATATTAACAACCGGTTCTAGCGAATAGGTGCGAACTGGTAGAATCCCACCCCTGCTAGTAAGTTAATGGCTAGAACTGGAAGCTAATTATGGATTTTGGCATATTTGATTATATGAAAATAATTAGAAGCATTTAAACTTTTATTTTGAAGCCACAGATTTAAGCAATTATTGCTGGATATTTCTGCTACATTTCAAAAGAGAAATTTGAATCAGGATGTATTGATTTTATAGGGCATATAATGGTACTATTTAAGCTATCTCTGATATAAAATTGATCAATGTCAAATTTGTATTGTTGGAAGATAAAATTAGGCAGTATGTTGTTTTGGATATATCCCTTGAGAGTGAGTCATAGATTAAATTGTAATTTCACACAGAAATCTGTACCATGCACAACAATTAAATTTCCATTCCGTGCTCTTAAAATTTATTAAAATTTATTAAAATTCTCCTCTGATATTTTTTTAAAATCACATCTGAAGTTGGTTTGCTTTTTTCTTCTTTCAGGGCCAGTCTAATGAAATTAGAAATTATAATTAAAGCACATTTTTTTCTCGATCCATTTATAATTATTTAAAGACCAATAATATTTTAAAAATTGCATGCTCCCTTCCATTTTAAAAGTACTGGAAATATCACACCAAGCTTAAAGCCAGCAATGCTTCTGTCCTACTATTTATCTCACTCTGAATGTATAAAAGAAAGGGAGATTATTTTTAAGTAAAATGAATAGTCTAGCTAACATAGCTTCTATATTGTCAACAGGCCTGTCTTCATAGCAGATCTTCTGCCTTTCAGACACAACAGGTCACTGTCAAATCCAATGGTCCTATACCAATGACAGATCATTTTTTACACTTACAACCATTGCGGGCTCCCCATGGTGATGTGATTAAAATTCAGGTGCTTAGCAAATGATTCATGTTTATGATGGCTGCAGTGTCCCAGGGACACGTGATCACCTTTTGCAACCTTCTGATGAGCAAAGTCAATGAGGAAACCAAATTCACTCAACAACTATGTTATTAACTCAACAACTGCAGTGATTCACTTAACAAAACTGGCAAGAAAGGTTGTAAAATGGGGCAAAACTCACCTAACAAATGTCTCACTTAGCAACATTAATTTTGGGCTCAGTTATGATCGTTAAGTTGAGGACTACCTATATCACTGGTTCCCAACCTTTTTTTCACCCCGCACCCCTAAAGAAATTTCCCTCGAACCTCGCACCCCCTGAAATTTATATTTTGCTCAAGGATAAATTATGTGAATTCTGAATGATATTTTATCAAAAAAAGATTGTTACTTTATTCCTTAATATAATTACCTGGACTTTTCTCACACCCCCTGGAATATCATCTCGCACCCCCAGGGGGTGCGAGCATCCCAGGTTGGGAACCCCTGACCTATATAATAATATTAGGATAAAAGATGGCTAATCTGGGGGTGAAAGAGTGGTTGTGTACTATGCTAATTCAGTAATCCAATGCATTTCTTATTTGTTTTACACCTTTCCCCAAGTTGTACTTTTTTTTTTCCTTTTGAGGGGTTTCACAAAGCCCAAACCTCTTTCTGAAGCTTTACAAATACTTAAACCTGGATGACAAATGATTATTGCATGGAAATCTGAGGTGAACTTCCCTTTATTTGATATTAACCCAGCTTAATTGGAGAGTGACGTATTTAATTCAAAGAAAATAAGCACCCCCACAGCTTGCAGTTCTCATCTGGTGGATAACAACTTTCCAATTCAAATCGTTATTAAACCAATGTGATCTCTGAATAATTATGGCAGTCAACAAGAGATTTTCTGCACTTTTAAATGTTCATTTCCCATTTCCTCAGCTAAAGATGAAGCCAAATTAAGAAATCCCTTTCTGGATTTCAACCACTTCCTTTGCTTTGGCTGCAGTCGTGGCTTGGTGTTCTGCTCAACCTAAATTTACCATGACTTCCAGTTTGGTAGATTCCCCTGATTCTTTATCCCTCTTGGATCAATTAAAAAGAAAGAAAAAGAAAACACCAAACTTCATTATTTTGCCAGTCTCTTATAACAGAAAGAAAAAGTTCTGAGTCTGTTGGTTTTTTTTAATTTTGCATAATTTAAAATTTTTGTTTTTCTACTTATCTTTTCATAACCTGTAAGCTTCCCAGATTAGAGAAGTGGAGGAGAGCAGATATAAAATAAATAAATAATACACATATACGTGCAGACACAGACACAGACACACACACATAGTAGTTTTGCCTCATTTTAAAAGAAAAAGAAAAAAATCTGCATCCTTCTTTGCCCTGTTCTGTCAACAAACCAGAGGGATCAAAAGAGCAAAAGCCCAATGTTTTATCTCTCCATAAATGGCAGCAGAAAGTATCAATCAGTGGCCAGGGAAGGGAAGGGATGTTCCTACTGCAGACGCAGTAGCTAAGAGGAATGGAAGGAATCGAAATGCATCACAAACATAGGTCATTGTCGGTGTGATTTGAGCTGGCACAAGATGGAAACACTACTTTAGAAGCAGACAAAAATCAGAAAACAGAGGTCAAAGACTTCATTTGTGGCAAGGATGGATGGGCTGAGGGTGGGTGACATGTATCTCCCCCTTCAAAAAGGATGAGGCAATGGTGATATTAAGCTGGTTCACACTGGATCGGGCGAACCGGTAGCAAGAATTTGGCGTGGGTCGCCGAACCGGTAGTAAGTTCTGGCTGGCCACCACCCCCCACCGGGTTGCCCTCCCTCCCGATGCTCTCTCACCCCGCCCTCCTGCCTGACATTTGCCTAAGGTATTTCCTTCTTTTTTTCCCTCCCGATAATCCACTGTCGTTAAGTTCCCCATGCTGAGGCCCAGGAAGGAAAAAATGGAGGGAGGAGCTCAGCCCCCGCCTCCATTTTTTGCCTTCCAGAGCCCCAGAGGAGCCTTAGGGGAGCAAAAATGCCCCTCCCAGAGGCTTCTCCGTGGCTAAGAAGCTCCCCAAAATGGGTGGGGGCTGCAAAAAAGCCACGCCCACCCAGTCACATGGCCATGCCCACCAAGCCACGCCCACAGAACCAGTAATAAAAGTTTTTGAATCCCATCACTAGGATGAGGGGCTTATGACGGAAATGAAAAACTCTCCTATAGTTTCCCAAAAAACTGTGCTGTAACAGATCTCCCAAAAATTCTGCCCCCCTTTATACATACTAACTTCCTATAGCTTTGCAACATAATTTAAGTAGCCCATTTCAACCATCAAATATTACCATGCACACTTCACTTATAAGCATCAGCATATTGTGCAAAACCAGCAATGTTCAACCTATCCACATTAACCACTGTGGCACTCTGGGCTCAAAGCCATATCAGCTAGGCACACACTTTCAAGTCCTTGCTTCTTCTGAGCTATGTAGTGTCATGTCTAAAGGGCAGGAGAGAGAAAAAGCTAAATTGTAAAGTATTTTTCATGGTTGTCTTCACATAACATTAGCAAAGAAAAGAACATTACAGCAGAACCAACAGACTTGGTGTGGCTTTTTTGTATGTAAATTTTCTGGCTGCTTCTCAGTCAAAACACACTTTCTCCCTTATGGATAATGCATAGACTGTGACATCCTATGAAATCAAAAAAGGGACATGAGAATGAAATCCTAGAATTGCAACACCACTTCTAAGCCAAGAAATGGAAAAAAGGAGAGAAGGAAGGAAGGAAGGAAGACATCTCAATTTGCCAAAATAATAATCATAGTTAATAATAATTTATGTTATTATTAATTAAAACTACATAGGTCTTGCTCCCACAACAAACATGATTATTAGAGTAACACTCTGAAACTGAATAGAAAATAGTGCAAACTTATTCTGTGATGGGATTTTCTGATACTAGCATTTAAAGGCAATGATAATCGCACTGGCAATTTCTTAGAGGTGTGATACTTTTGCCAAACATGACAACATGATAAAATATGTGTTGCTATGCCAAATCATATTTTAAAATAATGTAAATTAACAATATACAGTATTCCTAATTAGATTAATTTACCTTGCTTTTGTTTCATTTTTTGAAGACACATATCAGATAGGATAAATTCAAAAAGAAAAAAAATATACTATAAAAATGTTCACATCACTTCTAGGTTCAAGACTTCTGCAACTAGCTCTGTTCCTTTGTTTTTAATTGCTGCAATATTCTATTCATTTTAATTATTGCTGGCTGTCGTAAATAGTTTGTAGCTACAAGGAGGCAACCATACATATTCAGAAACCAAAATGGGAAAGAGAAAGAGGGGGAAACATTCTTGCAGATATCTTGTTGATAGAAAGACAGAGCACATGTTCATCAAAACTGTCTAAACACTGTTATTGACGCAAGTGCACAAACCTAGTAAGAAGAAACACAACTGATTGAATCTATTAAGACAAAGGGAGGTTCACACAACCACTTACTTACACTTTTACTTCTGACAGACAGAGAGTTTGTATCCTTGCTCATGATGTTGCAGTTGCTGATCTGGCTGGTATTTTAGCAGCAGAAGTTCCAACAGGAGCAAATTTCACCTAATGCAAAGAAAATATACTATTATAGTTTCCACACAACCTTTCAAGGTGCCATGTTGCTAAACTCCAGGGTTCTCCTAACAAAGTGTTTTTAGTGGTGCTAAACTACCATTCCCATCATCCTAAGCAACATGAATTTTCTAATGGATCAGCCAAATGAAACAAGGCTGCTGTATTAACTTGGCACCAAGAGCTTTTTGAGATAGCATACCAACATCCTCCAAACAAATTAGGTGAGTGTTTTCCATTTGAGATGGTGCCTTTATGTGAACTTTATCACAATGCATACTTAGAACTATGTTCCAATTCTCTGAATCCGTATTAGTAATTTATAATTTGTAAAACATATGTAAAACACATTCCCCAGGGACGGTAAATCTATTTGGTAAAAGAGAATGCAATTAGGATCTAAAACTGCAACACAAGACTATGTAGGAACATGAAACATAAAGAATTAAAATGAATTAGAACTCCAAATGTAAATGGGATTTGGTCCCAAATAAATGGATACAGGATTGCAACGTTCTTTAAACATTTTTTGACATTTGTATAAACACTTGGCCTTAAAGCTGAGGACATTCTTTTCCAACTGATAAACAGAAAGACTTAAGCATAAAATAGACTTTGTTTATAAATTAAACAAATTAAATTAAACATTGAAAGTTATATACGGGTGACACTCATAGCGTGTACTGACTCCCTCTCTCTCTCTCTGATACACACATACACACATGCATGCACAGACACAAAGGAAAACACACTTGCACTTGCATTCCTCTGAATGAAGTCTGATGCAACATATTCATTCAAGAGTGATGCACTGAACAGTTTCAATTACTGTCCCTTCTTGTTATCTTTCTGAAAGAGATTAATAAAGATATCTCAAAGGTGCTTTTTCGAAACATTGGACAATCATGAGCTGTATGACTGATAATCTCCATAGACATGAGTGAGGATAATTAATATTTGTAAACAGCAATGGATCAAGCCCAGTACTTCATAGTCAAACCACAGACAACCACAATGATCTAATACATATCGATTTTACAGTTGAAAAAGCACTGCTCAATCTAAAACCATCCCTATCTATTGGACCGCATGGAATATGTGCCTACTTCTTAAAAAAGCTACCCACTGCCATAGCCGAACCTCTAAGAATAATCTTTGAAAAAATCTTTCAGGACCAGCTCCTTGCCAAAACTATGGTCACAAGCCACGGTCATCCCCATCTTCAAAAAGGGAGACCCCAGCCTAGTTGAAAATTACAGACCAATCTCTTAATTCTGCGTCACCTGTAAAGTCATGGAATCAATTATTAACCAATCCATTATCCTCCACTTAGAGACAAACAACCTACTCTCTAATAAATAATTTGGATTCAGAAAAAAACTATCCTGTAATCTGCAACTCTTACACTGCAAAAACATATGGACTACACAACTCGATCAGGGCAAAACAATAAACATAATCTACATAGACTTCTGTAAAGCCTTTGATTCAGTGGTACATGACAAACTATTCCTAAAAACTAAGGTCTTACGGTATCTCTGGACACCTACATAACTGGATAGAAGCATTCCTGTCAAACAGACAACAAATGGTCAAAATTGGGAGTGTCCTATCAAATTCTGTACCTGTCAACAGTGGTGTCCCCCAAGGCAGTGTTTTAGGACCAACTCTCTTCATACTCTACATAAATGACCTCTGTGATCATATTAAGAGCAACTGCGTTCTCTTCACTGATGATGTAAAGCTATTCAACACCACAAACAATACTATTACCCTCCAAAAAGACCTTGACTATGTATCAGAATGGTCAATCAAATGGCAACTTCAAATCTCAACAAATAAATGCTCTGCTTTACATATTGGCATAAAAAAATCAGAAAATAAAATACAAGCCAAATAGTCAAGACCTTGTTGAGGATCCAAACTTTGTCAAGGACCTTGGAGTACTCATCTCAAATGATCTAAGTGCTAGAGCCCGCTGTAACTACATAGCCAAAAAGGCATTAGGAGTTGTTAATCTAATCCTATGTAGCTTCTTCTCTGGTATCACACTACTAACTAGAGCATACAAAACATTTGCTAGACCTATACTTGAATACAGCTCATCAGTCTGGGACCCATATCATGTATCTGATATTAACACAATTGAAAAAGTCCAGAAATATTTCACAAGAAGAGTTCTCCGCTCCTCTACCAATTGCAGAATACCTTATGCCACCAGACTTGAAACTCTAGACCTAGAAAACCTAGAACTACTCCGCCTCTGGTCCGATCTAAATATAATATATAAAATCATACATTGCAATGTCCTACCTGCAAATGAATACTTCAGCTTTAATCATAACAATACAAGAGCATACAATAGATACAAACTCAAGGTAAGCCACACCAAACTTGATTGCAGAAATACGACTTCAGCAACAGAGTGGTCAACATCTGGAATACTCTACCTGAGTCTGTGGTTTTTTCCCCAAACCCCAAAAACTTTAACCTTAGACTGTCTATTATTGACCTCACCCCCTTCCTAAGAGACCTGTAGGGGGCGTGCATAAATGCACCAATCCTGCCTACTGTCCTGTCCTATTGTTGTTGTTTTTTCTTATAAGTATCTATCTCATGTATTCAAAACTACATTTATTCTTATACCTGTATCTTGTAAGAGATTGACAAATCAAATAAATACTAAATATTTTTGGAGTATGAATTTCACCATATTATTCAAAGCCCAAATGTAGTTTTCAGCCTGAGAGAGGCTGTGCAACAAACTCAGATAAACATCTCTTTTCACTTCAAATAGCAGGATTAATCCATTCTATAGTTTGACTAATTTTTACATCAAGAACTCTGTGAGACAGAGCCATCTAAAACAATTATCTTGGTTAATTTAAAAGATGCACAGCAAGAAAGATGGACCAATTATTTGTGTGTCAGTAAATAATCCGTCCATTCTTTAAACGCAATATTTAAGGTTACAGACAAGATGTTGTTTCCAAATGAAAATCTTAACACATAATCTTTCTGCAGCAAGAAGGAAGAAAAAAATTATTAGAATAGCTCAACATGCTCGGTCTGAGTCATCCATTGATCAGCACTGGATTGGCAAGATACAATATTTGCTTTCTTTAAAACACAGCTGGAAATGCTGTTTACAGATGTTTGATTTTTCGAACACATCAGAAGCAAGCTTAAAAGGTGAGAGAAAAGATCACAGCAGCCCCGCTGATAAAAACTACCACTGAGAAAATCATATTCATGTGCAATGTATGGTTACAAAGCAATTTAGGAAGTATTTGAACCTACATCACTCTGATGATGTTATGAACTAGAAATAAGAGATAAAGGCATATGGAAATCACAGCCTATTAGCAGCAGGTAGTAAAAACTAGCATCAGAATCAGGACTTAATTGTTTTAAGGAAAAACTGAACCTGTATATTGGATTTGCTTCTGAAATTTACTGTTGTTATCTAATGTATGCTGGCTTGACAGCCGTGGACAGAAAGACATTACAGAGGGTGGTGAGCACAGCACAAAACATTGTGGGCTGTTCCCTGATGCCACTAAATGACATCGCTCGGGCTCGCTGCCTTAGAAGAGTGAGGAAAATTCTCAGAAACGAATCACATCCCAGTCAGAACATTTTCACTCTCCTATCATTGGGTAGGAGATATAGAAGCATAGCCAGCCGCACCAACAGGCTGAAGAACAGTTTCTACCTGTGGGCTGTCAGACTTCTGAATGGAAAATTACTTCATGTCAAGTATGACAGACTTGCAGGGTCGGCGTGCTGTGCAACAAGGTCACATAGTGTAATAAGATTTGGACTAGGTTTGGGACTTCTGTCCTCACTGTGAGTAGTGTTGGGGGGATGCACGAAGGAAGACTCAACCAATCTCATTGTACACAAGTTGTACACCGACAATAAAGGTAATAACAATAACAACAACAACAACAATAATAATAATAATAATAATAATAATAATAATAATAATAAAAATGTGGAAAGAATGAATATAATCCAAAAACTAGTCCAAAGGATAGACATATTGTTACATTAATTATTATTTTAATACTAGGTTTCAGTCAGTTCCTTATATGGCACATTCTGGCCTCTCTGAGGGAAAACTGAACTTTTTAAGAAAGATATTTTGGGTGTATTTTGTGGGGTAGTGATGAGACATTTCTGGTTGAGTCAGATTTGGGGAAAACTGGGTTTATTTTTTCACTCTGCCTACTGGATTTTTGCTTGTTATGGATTGTATGTCTGCACTTTCAAAAAGGGTCTCTTTTAACGTTATTCCAGCAAGAGGAACTCTATGAGGTAGATTGATAATTGGTCAAGTCATTGAGTGAGCCCCACAGCTGAGAAGGGTTCATACGTAGATTTCTTCAACTTTTTATTCACTTACTACGTATTTCATACTACTAATTCATACTCAAATATTTGAATTTGGGGGGGCACAACTTATACACCCTTTTTATTTTTTATCTGCAAAAATAGCAGGAAATTACTGTTTCTTGGCATTTCCGGGTGACACACAACATTGTGATTTCTGAAGTCTGACAGGGAAGTACAAAAAGTCTGGGAATAAGTTGCTCACACCTTTCTTAACTAGACAACACAGCAATATTGTTGGACAAAGAAGAACAATAATGGAAGGTGAATGTATGAATGAGGCTACAGAATAGTTAATATTACTTATAACAGTGTTACCTTAGTAGATATGGGACAGAACATGTAGCTGAGATTATTGAATCCAATCCCAACACTTTTGGTTGTAGAGTTTGAGTTCCATCCAGGGGTGGGTTTCTACCGGTTCTGTCCACCTCTGTAGAACCGGTAGCTCTGAAGAGCAGCAGACCTAGAACCGGTTCTATGCCTGCTGATGTTTTTGCCTGCCCGCCCACCCGAGTTCTTACCTGATCTTTATTTCCTGATTTTTCAACTTCAGCTGCCAAACAAGGCACAGCTGCAGTTAAAAAAGCAGGAAA